GCGCAAACATTAAACCCCATTTCTTTTCAATTTCTTCCGACGATGAGATCCCAGATTACACATCAGACAAATACAAAAATCATATTTTCAAATCGTTTTCAGAGTAGTAGACAAATATGTGTCGCAAAAGTAAGGTGCTCTAAGGTACCCAATGTTTTAAGAGTATAAAGATAAATAAACTTGTGGACGCTTTAAAATTTCAAGGGGAAGGGCATGCTGGTTCGAGCCCTGCTGATGAGTGCAACGACTTGGCAGCGTCAACAACTCAACCGCGTCACCGTCGACATCGACACTTTCGGCAGGAAGCGTTTTGGTTGCCGGCAGCAGACATCGCGTGTTAGACAGGAAGCGCGTCTAGTTGGGTGCATCCACTATGTGTGTGTGTGTGTGCGATGCATTAACAGACTCGTAAACTGCCAGTTGCCTTGTTATGTTGATTACACAACCGCGCACAAAGTGTAAAACCTAAACTCAGACCTGCAATTCAGCACAATATTTTGGCACAGCAATTTGCCGGTGCCTGGCACAGGCTTATTAATTTACCATGACTAGAGCTTGGTGGCGGAATATGATTTAGCTAAACATTTTTAAACTTTTAACTGCACACCGCACTGTTGTTGTGGCATAGACCACCCCCAGTAATATGTTGCCAGCTGCCGAGTACGTGTCTGTCAAAAGACTAGAAGAAGAGTGAAGAAATAAAAACCCAAAAATAAATACATCCCAACACCCCCACTTCCACTTCCAGCACCCACAATTTCACTCCAACTGTCATTTGCTCTTAAAACTAAAAAAGGAAAAACCTCACCAAAAAAAAAAAAACAGAAGAAAAAGCAGAAACAAACACCAACTTTGCTTCCATTTTGGCGCAAGAGTTGAAAGTTGAATGTCTCGCAAATGCCGCGGCAATGCCCCTACAGCAGCCAGATGCACTTTTGACTTCCCTCTACGATTCTCCTCTACGCCAAGGATTGTTGCAACATTTTGCAAAAGTTTTCGCACGCAGTCAGAACAAATCTGCGCTCACACGCACACACATACGAGTATATATATACATAATTATACAAACATACATTTCCCAGTATTGTTTTTCGTTGCAAATTTATTACAACATTTCGCTAGCGCGTCCTTTATCTAACAGACGTCGACGATATTTATCTGCCAAGTTAAATTTACTTTGCTTCTCTACGAGTATGTGCTTTGTAAGCTGGCATTTTGAAAAGCGAATTCTTTTCATGCTGCTGCTCTCCTTTCATAATTTTCGCCTGGCGGCAAAATTGTCGTCTTTATTTACCACACACATGCACACACACAGACACAGACACATACACACACACACACACGCATGCACTCACACATGTCAAACTATTTTCGCATGGAAATGGTTGCGCGCAATTTCCATTTCAATGCACAGCTTCAAATGCTAAACGTTGCCCATTTTGTGAATTTCCCAGTTCGCTCGGATGACATTTGTGATTTTCCGCACATTTTGTATTTTATTGAACTGTTTGTCACATGGCGTTGATATTTTCTCGTTATGTTTTTCGCTCAGCAGCAATGAAAATGAAAATGGCGCTGCTCCTGCTGCTGATTCTGCTGTTGCACATATCATCATTTTGCAAAAGAATTTTAAGCTACTTTTCCATAGGGGGCATCGAAAAAGACTCCATTGAGAGGAAAGGAATGCCTTTGTGACTTTAAAATCAACCCAAGTAACATTATGTTCGAAACAAACGGAAAACGCCTTCTGGAGAACCCCTTGCCTGTATGATGGTAGTAATAACCATGTAAACTTTATGAAAATCAAATAAAAATAAAAATGGACAGCAGTCATAAACAATAATATTGCGCGCTCGCTCTCAAACATAACAAAAATAAAAAGTTATCCAAAGTTAAAGCAAACTACTGTGGCTGCAACTTAATAAAAACCAAAAATGTATGAAATACTTTTACGACTTTCGAAGACATTTTTACAGCTTGCTGCCAACTTTGCTAACGATATGCGAACGTTGGGCATGGCGCGGCACTTTGCGAAAATGGGCAAAGCAGCAGCGCAGCTGCAACCTAAGCCCAGTCCAGCTTAGTCATGCTTCTTCTGCTCCTGCTGCTGTTTCTGACTATGTGGCCGCCTGGTCAAATGCATCTCGCATCGTAAAACCGAAAGTCATTTCGCACAGAACGTGTCTGAGCGCTGACCAGACCAAAGACCAAAGAAGATAGAAGCAGTACAGCAGAGCAGCAACCAAGATGCCAGTGAGCATCATTGCAGCCAATAATAATTCCAATTGTACTGCAGTGACAATTTCTTTTTCGACAACAAACACCAACACCAGCACCCACCTCCCCAAGTTCAACTGAATGTGACTGCTGCCCTTGCCGCGCTAACGATGCGCCAAGATGCGCTCCTCGTCTACGCATTTCGGGTACAATGTACCAACAATGGTCAGCAGCGAAAGAATTTTATTGGCCGGCGCTTGCATCTTAAGTGCAGCAACAGCAGCAGACCATCACAACAGCGTTCCAACTCATTCTCATCTGCGACGCGTACCAAAAACATTATTTGGTCAATGTAGACGACATGACGCTGTCATTAAAAGCAACAAATAAGCAAACAATAAGACGTCCTATAAGGATAAACGATGACTGATGATCAGATGAGCAAAGAAGAAATTAGTTGGCTTGTGGGCAACATTAGCAGGCTTTAAACAATCCTTGCATACTTTCAGGCGGCTATTTTATGCTCGCTTCAAAGCATTTTATTGGAAAAAAAGTCGAAACTATTTGAAAACTGTAATATAGCTGAGAATTCATGGATCAAATTTAAATTTATTGCTTCTTTTATAATATTTCCCACTTAAGTAAAAAAAAAAGGCAAAGTCGCCTGTGCTCTTACCAGTAGAATATTTTTTACTTCACTTGTATTTATTTTAAGTTAAATTGCATAAATTGCATTTAATTGAATAATAAGAATTTACTTTTTTTTTGGGCAACCAATAGTTAAAACAACTTTTCAATCACTTTGCAAAATTTAACAATCGACATGACTAAATGACTAAAAACATAATAGAATGTTGGTCGTGCAGATACGAATCTTAAAAACCATGCGCATACTTCAAAGGATTTCAAATTTCTCACAAGCATTCGTTTATATGATGCATTTTTCCTCGATGTTTCGATTTAAATACATCTATTTTGATATGTAGTATGCAAGTACTCTAAACAGCAGTTTTTCGAACATCCTTACAAACATTCGCCACGATCAACAGCTTTAAGTAAATTTCGAAAGCAGAGCAATAATGATTACAATAGTCAGTTTGTGAAATCTAAATAAGAGAAATATCTCATTAGTTACGTGTAAAGGTTTCAGGCATATACATAAATAGCAAATGCTCTTGTTGTAGTTAAATCAATTTTCCTCAACAATTTTAGATGCTTACAAAAAGGAATCCAAAAGTGTAAAATAACCGTTTTTAAGTTATACAATAAATACATTGTAATATACATACAAGTAGAACTTCTGCCTGAAGAACCAGTTTTGGAAAATTTGCAAAATTGTAAGTGTATGTAGTTGAAAATAGTTTATTTAATGAATGTATAATATAGTATGTAGTTTAAAGACCACAAATATCAATGTTTGTAACGAATTCACGAAACCAGATTGATGCTTATAAATGCCAATATCCCACTATGCTTCTCGTAAAATTCTACATTAATTAAATGTTTTATATTCATCTAATTATACAAATTAGAATGCAAATACCAAGAATTATTTGAGCTTTAAAATGAGTATAACCTGTTTTCCTAGGAGAAGCAAAATCTGCATAAAATAATTTTCCTAATAATGGCAGGAAAGAGCGGATACATAGGAAACCTTGTCGGCGTTCGAATAACAATTTGAGTTTATGGCTTCACAATCTTATAGTAACCGATTCTTTTGGGTTCTTATATAATTTGAAATGTAACTTTTAACTTTGCAAATAAAATGGAACGCTTGGTAGTACACATTAGATAATGTTCAATATTTTGTATTTTGTGCAATCGAACATCTAAGCACCGCTTATATTTTATCAGTGGAATCGATTAAAAATGAAAGTCTTTGAGCGACTGGAGGGCTTAACACGTAAACGATAACGCAGACATTTTGGGCATATTTATTTTTGTTTATCAAAATTAATTGCAAGTTAGCTGCCTTCTAAAATATCAGATAGCGCGGCACTGTTGCGATAATACAGGCTAGAATGATAAACTGAGATTAGCACTAATTATCAAAGCACATATGCATTTTTCAGGCAAACAGACACACAGACATACGGTGGTATAAAATCTCATTTAATTTGTACGCAGCATCAAAAATGACTAATTGACTGCCATTACGTTCACCTAAATGCTAATAAGCAACATTTTATGTTGACGATAACAATATTTATAATAATGATGATGATGGCGACGATGAAATCAACAAAGCTAGTAGTAGCCAGAAAGTTTGGCCCCCGAAGCGGAACGAGAGTTAACGCCTAGACGGACTGCTGCTGTACGACAAATTCATTTAGTTTTCAAAAGCTAATTAGCAACTAAAGTGAAATTAAAGCAAAGCAAAAGCAGCGACAATGGCTTTCGTGAGTATATGTCGCACTGCCCTGTGGAGCTACCGTCGAACACTGGCGAGCGAGAGGGAGAGAGAAGGTCTGCGTCGGTACGCCAAAACTAATTAAATGCAATAAGTAAGCTGTGCTGGACTGGACGCCCAGGAAGTGTTAGATTAAAAAAACAACAACAAAAAACCGGCACGAGTGACAACTTTGTTTTGATGTGCAGCGCGACATTAACAAGAGGACACTGCCCACTAACTAACGATGGGAGCGCACCCAGTGATGTGTTGAGGAAAGGTGCGAGCAACTGCAACACTGAAGTGTAGTCGCGTTTTAATTTGTACATTAAAGTAATTAGCTTGCTGGTACTATTGTAGTTAGTTTTAATGAACAAACGACTTCCCAACTTACCGCTCTTAAAGGTGGACATTAGACGCTCCGAGTCCGCGGCGTGTTGACACGCAAAGAGTGAGGTTTCAAGCAAATCGCCAGGTTCATAGCCAAGCAGGCCAAACATTCTAAAAAAAAAGGGACATTATTTAAGTACGCCATCAAGCAGATTAATAAAGCCCCCAACTCACTTATCGTCCACATAGGTGAACTTCATATCCAGCGAATGTTTGCTTAGAAAGGTGCTGGTACCCAGCGGTATCTCAATGTTCGAGGGATGAGGTATTGGCCGACCAATAGCAATCAGCACACGTTCGCCTTTGGAATTGACTACCAAGTGGCCGGTGATGTGAATGACCTGCAGGGAAAATAAAAGGCATAAGAAATAAAATTCCTCAATTAAACTGTTGGCTATAAAAGAATATTATCAAACGAAGATTTAACTGAAGTTTCAATAAATCTGCCTGACCTGACCACACAGTTCATTTAAACATTCTTCTATCAATAATTCATCACTCGATCTTTAGACAAATTGCCTAGACGTATTACTAATATATTCAATTGTTCCATGTTCAATTCCCCCTTTCGAATGCACACCTTATATGAGGCGCTCTTGATGTTTATGCTGCGGCCTCGACTTGTCAGTGTGCACTTCAAGCGCACAAACAGATCGCGGTGATGTGTGCTGACGTCTAACTCCACGTTATGCTCTTGCTTAACCTTCTCAGCGATTCCATGACGTTTGAGATTGAGTGCGTCCTTGATCTCGGCATGATCGCATTGATGCGAGTATTCCCAGATCTGCTGGCCCAGCATATCAATCTGAAAAGGAATGAGGAATTATTAGAGAAAATCGGAAGTGAGGTATTGGAAAGCAAACCTTTGTGATTCCCAGATATTCCACAATGTTTTCCGAGACGTATGTGATGTCGCCCTCATTTGAGATCACAATAAGAAACCCGTCCATAGTCTGTATTAACAACTGGCTGGCCTCGGCACACTTCAGCCAGTCCTCATCGTTAACCTCAAGCTTGGGCTGGATTAGGCTGTCATCAGCCATAATTGATTCAATGGCAGGCTCACTGCATTTTCGAATTCTCGGCACTGCAGAGGAAAATTTGTAATTGTGTTATAGGTGTTTGGAGTACTTTGAGAATGTCTTTAGACTTACCCAACTGCAACATGTCACGTATTTTTAGGAAGGCAATCGTAATGCGCATTACCGAAGCCTTGTCCAGTTGATTGACATCATCAGGCATGAGCGGCAATACCTGCGACAATTCCATAAAGATCTCTGTCTCCTTGGAGCGACGACAACGTGCCGCATCTCGCGACTTCTCCTTGCGTTTTTCATTGTTCCTGAAAAGAACAGAAAAATAACAATTTAGAAGATAATAGTTACACGTGTGTATATCGTATACATAAATGTATGTTAAAGGAATTTACATACACATAGAATCATTCCATATGTACGTATTGTTTTGCTTCCTTGTATGTAAGTTTTGTAATTGGCGAGGAGGCAGGGACACAATAATTTGCTAGCTTTCATTTGGTTTAATTGGCGTCATATGCTCAATTCGACGGAACATTTGGCACAGTACGAAGTTCAGGGCAGCCCGTAAAATGCAAATCAAAACGAATCAACTTTTTATTTTGCATATTCAGAAAAATATGCTTTGCGCGGCCGACACGCAACAAACTTCGAACACTTAATAATCACTAAGTAATGCGAAATGATTTATGTGTTGGCATTTTTATTGAAACCCAATTGCGAATAAATGGGTTAACAATTTATAGAATATCGATAATGATATTCGTCAGAGACTTTTTAGAAAGCTATGATTGTTTTATGATTTTTTATTGCCAAGGAGTCTCTGTAATATGATTTTAATTATTGGTTGCTAAATATTTTCCGCGTTAAAACCAGGAGCTTTCGTCGAAAATCACCGACACATTAACAGAAAACAATTAAAGCGCTAAAGTCAAACCAGTGCTACTCTTGTATTCCCTGTACTCGCCAAGCATTCCTTCAAGTTAAAATCGTTCCTGATTTTGGTCTTTGATCTTTAAAAACAAATTATGAGAGTATAGGGACTTTACAAAATATATATATTAACACCCCATTTGTTGACTGTCTTCTGTCTGTCTTCTTTTGAAATTTTACTTTTAAAGATGAAATGCGAAAATAAGAGTTTTCACATACATATGTGCAAGTACACAAACACGCATAGACACGATGTAAATGTATATATGCAATATCTAATTTTTTTTGTGGGGTGGTACAGGGTATTTAAGAGTTGAGCCTGCTCGACTTTAGCATTTCTTTATTGTTATAAATAAAAAGTCAAGTGCATATCTTTGATTGACTTTACAAGAACTGTCATCAACCCACCAAGTCCACCTACCACTTTTGGTGTCTCTAGCTATCTTAATGCTTATTATAGATTTTGTATAACATATGATCTATGATGTCTCCTTTTGCTTGTGGAATAGAGCTGGCGTAGAGCGTTTAGACTTTCTAATACTTATACGCCTACGACTAAGGTAAAGGGCATAAAAATTTATCAATCTTATTGGAAGAGTATTCCACGAAATATAGTGCTGTCAAACTATCGATGACACCAATAGAATCAATGCACATCTTTTGTAAACACTAGGATTCAAATTTCTGTGAAAAAAGTTATATTTACTTATCAGTTTATTTATTGAATAATTAACATGTGACAAGCCAAGAAATAGTCGCCAGTTCAATGACCTCAAAGGAAATAAGAATCGAAAACACTATTGGAAAATTGTTGCCTACCCAAATATTTGTAGGTTGCCAAGAAAAACTCGTGCACATTATATTATATACACATTAACAGCTAATTTAGAGGCAAATACTCACTTTATCTGCGTATATTATAATTAATCATAGCGAATTGAGGTCGCCTATATACTATAAATATGAATAATCTGGTGTACATAGCAGCCAAACGTTGACTTCCACACGTAGCTAATAGGTAGGAGCAAGAATAATTTGATATTTTTCGCACACGCTCGACATATTTTATGAATTTCTAAAAAGTTCCGCCCAAGCTGGTGAAATGTATAGTTTGGGCGAAGCAAAGCAATGAAAAGAATCACACTACAAAGAATCAAAAATGATTGATAAACAACAACAAAACCCAGGGGAATGCTGCCAAAGCAACTACTCGTGCCCAGTTCAGATAAATCAAAGTGTGAGCTGAAAAAATTAAAGCTTTTCGTCCGATAATTGCGCCTAGTAACAATTAATGACCGCTGATGGGTGGAATCGATGAGTCCAGTCATCGTGGCATTTACGAGTAGCTTTATATGTCAGCCACACAGCCACAACCACTCACAAGTGAATTTGTTTAGTTGAGGCCGCAGCCATGTCAAGAGAAGCCGCTGCCCATCAAAATGTTACTCATACGCACTGTCTACCACTCTTAAATGTTGTCAACTAGACGCAAACGTTTCAGCCAAACACAGTTTTTCGATAATGCAACATAATCCCATTTAAATAGCAAAAATACACATACTATATACGTATATATAGTTTATAAGTAAAACGTTATCACTTTGTACAATTCATGCACAGCTAGCTATATTTACACGTACATAAGTACATCAATACATACAGAAATATAAATAACAAACCAAACACGATAGAAACGAGCAACTTTGATTGCATACTAATGGCTTGCTTAAGCTCGAAGAGTAAAGAGTGAAGAGAGGGGGGGAGGGAAGGCAGAGGCTAGTGGGAGCTGATGGAACGACGAGCGTTCATTGAAAACAAAGTGATTTGCTTTTCAATATTCAGCGAACGCCTGCATTATTGCTGCTATTTAGTGTATAAGCATTTCCGTCTGTCGTCTCCAGTTCAAGGCAAATGCTCTGGACACATGGAAAATCGTGCCTATCGTTCCTATCGTGCATATATGTTTACTGCTAGAGTCTAGGGCTGCATAAATCGTAGCAGGTGCAGAGTGAAATACAAGCTGCGTACGCCATATAGAGTTCATTGAGCAATAAACTCAAACACACGACAAATAAGAAAATATGTCTAGGCAAAATTAAAGAAATTATATGATAATGGGGTGTTAAGCCTCCAGTGACAGGCGTCGCCAGCATAAATTCATAAGAAGCTGCGCACACTTCTAGCCAAAATATCAGAGCAAACATTTTAACTGCGATAGCGTCGAGCAAACACAAATTCCATATACGCAGAAAATCACGATAAATATGGGCAACTGCAAACTGCGTCATCAGGACTGCACAAATTTGGCCAAGCAGCGTCAATCGCAACCACTATCGACCACAAAATCTGTGACGCTAATGCTAATTGTAAAAATTTGTGCATGCACTTCACCAAATTTTATTTGATAGGCAAATAAGTAATATATAGTAGTCAGACGTGTGCCTTTTACATATTCTACGATCAAAGCTACTCAAGCAAACAAACGCGAAAGGCAAAAATTACCAAACGTAAAATGAAACAAGAGAGAACGCTACAGTCGAGCAAGCCCGACGGTGAAATACCCTGAAAAGACTTCCAGAACTGAGTTATACACGCCCATAGCAGAAGCAAAATTAAGAAGAGCGAACTTGAGGCAGCAGCTTGTGGGCGTAGTACCGGAGTGAAATTGTTTCGCTAATGACTTTTCTTAGAATTGATCGATTTCGATGAATTTTGAAACAAAGTCTACAAAGTTTGTTTAATGTAGCTTTTGAAATGTGGACAGTATTGACGAAATTCTGTAGCGGGGGAAGAAGGAAAAATAAAATAAAGTCGTCCTTTCTCGGACCAGCTTTTATAGTTGAGATCCTCGCGTTGACATTCTCGCGTTGAGATCCTAGCGTTCATCCAGACAGGCGGGCGGACATGTCTAGATCGATTCGTCTCGCCATTCTGATTAAGAATATATACACATTATGGGGTCGGAGGTGCTTCCTTCTGTACGTTTCATACTTTGCACAAACCTAATATACCCTTTTTATCCTACGGGTACAGGGTATAAAAATGGGCGGAGCCGCGTGCCCACAAAATTGTTCATAACTAATCCATTGACTATAGCACAAGGTGAGAATCTCACACGCTATCAAAATACAAATTGGCTTGCCAGATTATCAATTCAGATTCTCAATTTTAATGGTTCTCAATATAAAAGACTCTTATATCTTACACACCCACCAATAAACTTATTAATGTCAATACATAATGCACTTATCATTCAACCGATTAGAGATTTTTCAAGCACTATTTATTCCGGTAAGCACATATAATTCTCTAAAGTTTATGTGTTCTTAAATTACCAGTGGAAAAAACGGTATGTAGACTCTTCTAATCCCTGATGTACATTTTCGGTATTTGCGGCTTGACTCATTCCTAGAGTCCCATCATGTAGTAGAACAAAATTTGAGTTCAAATATCACCTAATCTTCTTATATTCATAAACAAAGAAGCAAACATTGTTAGCTTAAGAATGTTCAACACTCATTCTTTGTAATCGATATAAATGTCTTGGGAAATTCCAACCTATCTTAATCTTTGGCCACCAGTCATTTTATGTTTTACAATCTGCTCTAACCGAACGGCAATAAACAACAGCTCGCATAATCGAAAGAGCGGGTAGACGGTATAGTATGTAGATAAGAACTGACAGACCTTTTTTCGGCACTTTAAACAATTATCTCTGTTAGCTATAGCTTGCCTAATTGGCAATCATCAAAACAAAAAGCGATATTCTTAGATTTTCTGTTTGACCAAAAAACTTACATAAAGTCCTCAATATCCACAAACTGCGTATATTGGCAGGGCTCGACATTATTGGGCGCATAGCCATAGCAATAGGAGTAGCTCCAGGGCTGATTCCCGCTACAGGGCAGCGACTCACTGAGCAGACTGGGCCGAGTTCGATAATAGGGCATGGGCGCCGATGGTGCATAGCCAGGCGAGGCGGTAAACTGCATTCCTGTTGCAGACACCTGACTCTGCGGCTGCTGCATCGGTTGGTACGGATGAAAGCGCACCGGACTGGTTGCATTTTTGATAAAGACGGGGCCCACAAACTGAGAAGGCGACTGTTGTTGCGGCTTTTGTTGATGGGAATTGAAGAAACCACCATTGTTGAAATTAACAGCGGGTTCATTGATCGGTGTACGGCCGAAAAGGCAGCCATTGTGTAGTGATGGTTCTTGTTGTTGCTGCTGTTGTGTTGATGGAAACACTTTTAAGTCTGCATCATAAAATAACACATCATCTCCATAAAATGAATTATCGCCAGAGGAAAAGTTGCAATTTTCCCAGGCATTGCAAGAGTTGTACATAATTTCGGGCTTCTGCTATTAATAGT